GGCCCAGACAGTCTGAATAAAATGATTTTATGTCAGGGATTTTTCTTACAGCTCCCTTTGTTCAGCAGATGATGTCTAGCCTGATGCTAATGAAATTTGGGCCTTTCATGCGCTAAAAATTGTCCTCCCACAGGAATTGAAAAAATAATGGTGGGAGTATGGGCACTTTTCAGATGGTATAACGAGCTATAGATAAAACAAAACATTTGATGAAATTTTAAAGCGCAGCTGTAAAATGAAGTTGAATTTAATTTTTTTTTTAAATAAAACATTCTTTGAACTTTTTAAATTTACATATATACGTTGGCTTTAATGTTGGCTCTTTAATATGGACCGGTTTCTAAGAAAAGATTTAAAATTGAAAAAATCCGACCAGAGATTTTTTTTAAATGGCATGTTAACGTTTAAGTTTTTGTTGTTCATAAATAAATTTTTTTTTAAAATATATTATTCCATTAAATTACGAAAAATAGGATATTTAAGTATACAATGTTAAAAGTATAAATGTTAAACAATTTTTACGTTTTCAGTCGTACTCGAATAATTAGAATTAATAGCCAAACCAGAATTAAATTTAGATATAACCTCAAGTCTCTGAGTAATAGAAATTTAAGTGCATTACAACCAAAATGTCTAGTATCACGATGCCATCTCTGAGCCTGGCTTTATTCAAAGGCGTCAACTGCGGTGAGACGGAAGTGCGGTCGAAATTAAAAAGGAGTTTAACCAAATTGCAATTGAAGCCCCGCGAAGCGAAAGGGCGGGAAATTAGGAGGGGTGTGAAGGCCATGAAGCGGAGCATTTGCGTGGCTTTTGCTTCTGCGGTTTATTTGGGCAAAGTGCCAGTTCACAGCAGACCAAACAGTTGCTACTCATTCGGTGGGCCAAAGGGCCCAAATGCATTTGATGGGTGGCTGAGAGGGGTGGCGGTGGTCCATTCCGCGGAGGAGCCTGCAAGGATGCTATCTGCTCAGTCGGGCGACAGTTTAATTGGGTTAGCTGCGTCAACGGCCTGTCCACTGCTGGATCATTGGCGCTGACATTGGCCGCCCATCCTACAGCCACTCCCACTTTTCCTTCTCTTGCCACCCGATTCCGTGCCCCATCGATTTTCCTGCGCCACACTCGCTTTGGATTATTTCGTAATTAAACGCAAATGCAGAAACCGAACTCGATTATTCCCGCTTTTCCCACAGTCTATTACACCCTTTATTCGTAATGTTAAAGGGTATTCGAATATTTAATTATTCTAAAAAGAATCTTCTTCGACTTTTTTTAGGTAGAATCCATATAACTTTTCATTTTCAATTCAATTTTGTTTTGTTAAAGCTGTATTTACGCGAACTCTTATGTTTTTGGAATGAATTCCATAAGTTTTGTTGAAACTTTTTACGTAAAGTGAATTTCTTTTGTATGTTTAAATTAACTTTAAACTAAAACAATAGATATATTTTTTTTAAAGCAATTTTCAAAGTTTTCTTTCATAGATAATGCGGCTTTCATTATTTTTTTCTACACTACATGCCAACAAAAATTAAATTTGTCCAAATATATATTTTGTAATTGGAAAGATTTTCAAGCAGTAGTGTTAAAATAATAGTAAAGGGTATTATAGAGTCGGTGCAAGTAGCTTTAGCGTTCATTCTTTTTTTTGGTATTTTATCAGATGGAACATTAAAGCCTTCTTTTTGCGCCACAATTTGGTATTCCTTTTTTGGCCATCATCGATTGTTGCTCTTGTGGCTGTTTTTGTGGCTCTACTCGCTTGCTCAGAAATTAAATGGTTGGTTTGATCAGTTAAATGTTAATGACCTTGTTGGTGGTGTCCCAAAAAAATTAGAGAAATTTCACTTGCTTTAATTGAAAACAAAATGAATATTTAAAGACCCATTTGGTCTTCTAAAATAAATTCAAATAGGCTAATTTCCATTATAATTGCACGCCTAAACTGTTTAACAGTATTACCTATAAATTTTAGAAATTTATTAAGAAATTAGATTTGAAAAATCAAAGACTTGTCCCACCAGTTTTACTTTATATAATTTATAAGTACTTTATAACTATGCTTTAAAAGCAAAAGGTAAGATTTAGAGAGAAAAGGCAATTTCGTTTGATTCATTTATTTAATTTTTGTTGATTTTAATGTAAGTTTACCGATGGTTTCTATAGCAGTTATATGACTTGCATTTTTATAAAACTAAAAACGTGTTTCTTAAATTATAAAACATTACTTTATATAGTTAATTACCCGATCTTGTCGGACTACATTATAAAGATAAATTTGAGAAACTTACGGAAGAACATGACTAGATGACTCGACTGATGGTTATAATCAAGATAATATATGTTAAAAATATATGGTCAGGTCAGTAACCTCCCCTTTACTTCTAACCAAAAAGATAGCAAATGTATGTAGTTTTTATTTTAAAATGTGTGAGCCGTTTATTTCGAATTAAAAAGAATATTCATTCGTTTTCGCAATACTTGTTGTGTATTTCGATATTTAATTTAAAGTCCTCATATACACACAAATAGTTAAGCTCTTGTTTGTCGGCCAAATTTTCCAAAACATTTCATTCGCGGGGTGGAAGCCCTAACCCCCAACAACAAGCTGCTTATGTTGTTTGCATTTTGTTAAACAAAAAATTAAATAACAGCTCCTGCAAACACTAGCGCCCCGAGGGGCGGTAAGTGCTATTATTTGTTATTTGGTAAATGCAACAAATGCCCCACCCATGGACCAGAACCCGCAGAACCGCGATGGCACCAGTAAAAACAGCAACAATTTGCAATATCAGCCAGGACACGGGAGCGAGGACATGGGACCTGCATCCAGGCGTGGCATCATAATTAATTCAAATTTGAATTTCCTTTTGGCGCAATGCACGCGCCATTTTCCATAGACAGTGCGGGGCAAAGGGCCAAAGGGGGATGGCTGTAGTAGGTGTGTGGGTGGCTCTGCCACGCCCACATGTGTGGCATGTTACGGCATCGGGGCTCCAGCATAATAAACTGTTTAAATATTTAGTCGGAACGAGTTTTTAATACCCGTTGGCGCTTTTAGCAGCTGCCAGCGGTCAGTGAGTGGGGTTAAAGGGTTGGGTCAAAAGTCGCCCAAAAAGCTGAGAAGGAATAGGAAGAATAAGCCAAAAAAAACGAACAGCTTCCGCCATGTGGCAGCTTTTGAAACCCAAGTCCCGTATAATTACAGATTTCCACAACAAAAAAATATAAGAATCTGGCACGAAAATAAGGGTCAAAAAAATTATTAATTTATAATTACTATAAACATGGTTGGACCTTTTTTTCGGTTTTATGCGTTGCGAATAAACTGTTTTAAATTATGAATATTTAAAAAGGTTCCAACCAGATATACAAGATAAAAACTATTAATTTATTTTAAGGTAATGTGCAAGAAAACGTCTATTATTTTCATCGCCTAGATACCTATTTTAATAACATAAAATTTGACTTAATTTTTGTATTATAAGTCCATATTTTAGACACATTTTTGGCATAACCCATTTTTCATAAGCTTTTTCATTCGCATTTCCAGTTCATTTTCATACATCCAGTGCAAACCTTGAAAAGCAAACTGAATTAAATTCAAAGTGAACAAACTCTCTGTTAATGGCATTCATTGCCATTAAATTTGCATTTGAGTTCTCCTAATATCCGTATTCCTGGCTGCCTGCCCTTAAAAGCCATCAAATAATATTCAGCAGAAACTAATTTGCTGTTCATGAACAAAAAGACCTTCCCTCTGCAATTTCGTTGGCACTTTCCGATTGCCGAAGCAGAAAAACCGAAAACTAAAACCCACCGAAAGCAGCAGCCACAAATTTGTGAAACTCAAGAAAATTCACACAGGAAAATACAGCAATTAATGCGCCGTGTGTGTTATCTGGATCGAGGGGCTTTATTAAAAGGGGGCGAGAGGAAAACTGCCATTTGGCAAAGTGCCGCATGCGATCTCCTCGAGCTCGTGGACGAGGTGCGAAATGTGGCACGCATCGCATTTCAGCTAGAAACCTGTCTAATGCATTTTTCGTTGCTTATTTATGACCTGCGTAGACATACAGCTACCTCGACACTCTGACCCCGCGGCTACCATTTCGCTAATAAATTGAAAATCGCATTTGCATATTACAAAAATAGCTTCCAGCTATATCGTAACTAATTTCTATATCAACAGACATGACGAATGGCCTTTTGTTATTTAAACACATATTATTAAAGCTTGGATATTGTTTGACATACTTTGAAAATGATACACCTCGATTTTAAAATAAAAAAAAACAGCATAAATACACTTAAACTAGGGAAAACGTCTATGGCTTTAGTTACACATACAAAATGTGTTAGCACTTATAGAAACTAAATAGAAAATTCGCATTCAACTTACACATTATTTAAAATTAAGGCTAACATCAAAATAACCATTAATCCTTTAAAACAAGATTTAATCATTAACTCGACAATTAGTATTAACGCATTAAGTATAAAATATTCATAAGTCATTCAAAAAAAATATTTACGATAATTAATTTTCGCCTCTCAAATTCGTTAAAATATCAGCAATGATATACAAAATTTAAAACAAGAGCCCTAACTTCTGTTTTCCGAAGGGATGACTACCTCCCATCACCGCCTGAAGAACTGCCCCAACAACCACCAATCATTCAAGTCCATCAGCCAGTCAGTCAGTCAGCATTCCATCAGGATGCGTCTCCGGGCTCTTGGTCTTCCAACTGGGTCACCGGGTGATTTTAGCTAAAAATGGTCTTGGTTAGCGCAAAATGCTTTTCGCCGGCAAATGACGCGTGCCTCGCGTCTGACAGGCATTGTAGTTGCTGTTTTTGGATGCGCGGCGGTGCAGTTGGTGGTGCAAGGACCCTCGGCTGCTCCACCAGTGGCACTCAAACTGACAGCCGGCAAAACCCTAATTGAAATAGAGCTGAGGAATGAGTTTTCAGGCGGCGTTCAGTTGGCCCGTGAGCTGTGGCGTAATTAGAAAATGAGCATGGAAATATTTGCGTGTGAAAGCCGCAGACGGCAGATAAATGAATTTTGTTCGAGGCTAAGCTGAAATTGCACGCGAGTAAGTTGGTATCTGCCATGTTTGTGGACTTATGTGACTCACCTAATAAATTCTTTTGCAAACTACATAGATATCTGGTTTGTGGCCTCCTTGAGAAAATCCAAGTTTGACTCATTGTTCTTAACAACATCCTCGAATATATCCCATTCCAATGCATCCGATGATCCCATAAAATGATTTGGAAAGCACTTTATCAACTGGCGACCTTCATCCAATAATGTAAAGGAACTTGGATATTCGATAATAACAATTGTGCCCATAAACAAAGCCGTCTCAACGATGCGCTGCAAATAGCGATGGGAAATCCATTTCTAAAAGAGATTATAAATTAAATACTTCGATATAATAAGACAGTTTTTGTACTTACCGAATCCGAGGGTTGCTGGTCGTCGCAATCGTTCATAAAGTGGGCAGTCATATATTGCAGTGTTAAAAACTCAGACAGCTATTAAAATAAATAAGAAATACGCTGTTTATAACTTAAATTTATTCTAACTATTTTTAATTCATTTTCTTATTGCAGTTTATCTAGTTTTATTATCATCTTTTACAAACCGTTTTCAAATGGCTGATAACCAGAACCGATTGATTGACATTGGTAGCCAGGGCTAATTGAAATGCCACGAAGAGTAAGTCCTTAATATTGTGATTAGTATAGTCCCAGTAAACATTCCTAGTATCGCCAGCGAATCGAATTGAGGTTCGCACTTTGGTCAAATCAAAGTCGTCGAGCGTCTAAATAAGAATTACAAAGTTTAGTAACGTTGCACACGATTTTTGTAGGCCCAGAACTATATATACTCACCACAGGATCCACTTGCTCTATATTATTGGGATGAGGAACCAAAAACCAAACGGAATACTCATCAAATGTGATGTACTCGAATATCTGACGCACCTGGTCAAAAACTTCCAGTACAAATCTTCGCTCTGCAAGACGCGTCGCGTCATCTACTTCCACACAGGTTGTGGCCAAATTGCAGAGCAGCGGCTGCGGTTCATTTTCCTGGCTACAAAAAAGCTTCACGAAGGTATCAAATGGGCTTTCGGGTTCTCTGAAAGAAGTGGTTTTAGAATCATAAAGTTATGCTAAATTTTGCCTAACGATATCCTATTTTTCTATAAGAATGAAAATTCTATTGACTGTTCCGATCAAAAAAGCCTTATGCTTATATTTAAATCTTAAGTGTTTAATATAGTATTATATTAATTATACACATACTTTTAGAAACTTTCCCTGGATTTAACGATTTTATACGGTGTCAGAAATCTTTTCAATCGAATCTGAGTGGTGTTTAAGGTTACATTTTTTCAGTGACACTCCGCTTAATTAAAAAAAGTTAAATTAAAGTGATTTAAACGGAAAAAGGAGTATCATTTTTCGGTAAAAATTAAAGAAATACTTTGTCATGATTTTCAAAAATAAATTAACATACTTGTAGCTGGTGAAGGGATCGCCACTAGTTTCGCGTCGGATAAGCTTAAGCCAGTTTCCAGCGCATCTCTGATGGAGATCCTTCAAAAAATTGTCCGAGTGCTGGGGACGCAAAAAGAACCTTTCGTGGAACTCCGAAATGGTCAGGATTTCGGTCTGGCCTTCGTCGATGGTGTAGGAAACCAAGTCCAGAAAATTTAAGTCATCGAAGCGGCGCATCACAGTCACCTGGATAACTTCGGGTTGGAGAATTCTCATGGACTCCTCCTTCTTGCGCTTCATTCGCCGACGATGTCGCTCCTCAGCCTGTCTCGAGGTGCAGGGCGTCTCGTCCAGATCGCTGACCACCTCCTCGACTTTTGATAATGAAGCCATCTCGAAGTTCAAGGAAACGCTTCCCCTACCGATATTCAGTTGGGGAATCTTTGATAGACTCTCGCCATCCGGAAAGGTCAGGGTGCAGAGCAATTGAATGGCCTGGGCCACGGGTGTTATTGCCGACAGATCATACGAAAAATCCTTGTCAATTTCATAAGCGATTACGTGCACATTGTCAGTTCTCGAGAATTCCACGTGCACCGTGTCGCAGCCCAAGCAATCGTTGATGTTCAGCTGGAAAATAAGATATTTTTGTATATGTGACCTGTCTTTATAGATTACTGCGACTCACGGATATAATGTATAGTTTGTGGTTTTTATTTAGAGAAGTTTCCTTCGACATGGTTAAAAATAGTTTATTTACAAGGATCACTTCTCAAAAAGTTTCCAATCAAGCGTCTTTCAGTGTTGGTTAGTGCCCAAATACGCTGCGATCCTAATATATCGATATTTATGGTAAAATAACAAATATCGATTGGTGATCTTAACGATTCGTCAAGTTAGTGCTGGAAAAGGGTTGCCAAAATTCAAAACTTTACGAACTTTGTGTTAACTTTTTATAATAATAACAATAAAGTTAAAAGATCAAAGAAAATCATAGAAATTCATCAAAACGTTTCAGTTTAGTTGGACTTAAGCCAAATAATACCATTTTTTTAACAGCTGAATATTAAATTTATATATATAACACTATTACAGTTCAGCTTAACCAAAAAATTAGAGCATTTTTCCCATTTAAATTTAATAGCCATCCAGGTGATCTCAGCCCACTAATTTGTTGGGATTTCAGCTGGCTTGGGAACTACACAAGTCCCTTTAGCATTTGGTTGAAAGCTAACTCTGCCACCCATTTTGACTCCCTTTTTTCAGCATAACGTAAATTAATGAATCAGCAAGGAATCAACATTATTATGAGCCATGGGAAGTGAGCCATTAAATTGGCTTGGCCAGGCCAGCAGACTAGGTGCATAAAATTAGGATTAACGGCTTTCTAAGTGCCATCAAATTCCCCAACTTTCGTAATACCCAAATGCACACACAAAGCAACAATTAGTCCGAAACTCGGCATAAAATGCGAGCTGGCCTTGGCAACTTTTTAAAAAAGCTTATTATGTTTAATGGAAAAAACATACTGAAATTTGAACAAACAAAAATAAAAGCGCGATAAACAAAACCGAAATTGTGATTTTCTTTTAATTTTTATGACACTGTCGGCAGAGTTTTCGCTTGTGAATTTACGACTCGAAAAGAAAAAGAGAAGTGGGAAAAAGGAGAACATTTCCTTATCGCTGCTTTTGATGATGCCCAAGGAAATCATTTATATTTCTCGGCTCCTCTTTCCACTTTGGCCAATTTTATGCTTTTTGCATTTTTAATGATGATTGCCATTTTTGTGTGTTCTTTTCCATGCGATTTATGACCTCCGTGGACCACACGTCACGCATTTAATTGCGTTTTAATAGCCCAAATGATCGCCAAAAACTTTTGTGCGAACTTGGCATTCAACTATTCTGATATGTGTGGTCGCTCGAAATGCGGAAAGGCGGTGAAGATTTCCTGGCAGCTCGTAAAGCCAGCGAAATTATGGCAATTTAACGGACGACGCCGATCCACCCGAATGGCCTGCAATTAGATGCCAGCCCTGGGCCACGTAATTCCTGGCTTTGGTTTCTCCAGAGCCCAAGTTCCAGTCCAGTAGTCGTTGGGGCTTTATCGCAAACATAAATTTCCTCAGATAAAAGCGCGAAAAAAGCGCTGCTCATGTCGTGGCCCCATGTCCACACAGCATTCTTTTCCTGTCGGGGAATCCCCATCCCATTCCCCCATTGCAATGTCCAGAAATTATAGCAATTTGCTTGTCAAATTGTTGCCGACTTGGCCAATAAATCGTTGGCTTTATGGGCCGCACTGCGTCGCCAGGTGATCGCGATAGAGTTGTTTTAGAAATAAATTCGCCAAAAAGGCGATCCTCTTGGCCTTCTGGCTCTCTTTAGTGGTTCGTAAACTTGTAAAATGTGCAATTTGGTCGGCCGGCTTTTACTTAAGTCGATCGTTTTTTGTTGCCTTATTTCGCTAATTTAATGGAGCTTTGCCATCAGACGAGCCAATTGAATAGTTGAACGATCGATGTGGACCGATTGAAATATTGTTATGGTGATTTACGTAGCTGTGGGTGGTAATTTGTAATATTTATGATAGCAATGATTATGGGTTGTTAAGTAGACTTATTTGGAAGGAATGTATTGAGGAATTTAATAAAAATAACTTCAACTTCATAATTTATTTTATTAATTTGCTTAAATTTTTTTTCCTGAAACACTTAATAACTAACACTTTAAAATTAAATACTTTTGTTTTTTTCTAACTTTGATCAAATTGTATTTTTTTACATCTAATCACATATTTTTTAGTATATATTGTGCTTATCATTTTAAAACACGCTTTAAAAGTGGCTCTTAACCAAGGTACATTTTTTCATTCCTCACGAATCTTTCCCAAAATTGTACCCAAAAATTTAGCCATTTGCATTAAACATCCAAATAGCTAATGCGGATTCCCCATATCCCCCTTCCCCCTATCCATGCATTCTATTCCCAATCCAAATTCTGGCCATGCCTCGCATCTGCCATTACGGGCATTTTTATTGTCTCGCCGGTTGGGGCTCCACTTGCACCTGCTGCTCCTAAGGCCAATGTTCTTTTTTTACAGGGTATACCTACTCGATAAAGGTGTGTACATTAGTTGGAAAATTGAATCTCTCTAAGTATATAGCTGTCATAACTCAAAAGCATTGCTTTTGGAAAAACTAGTCCTAAATTCATTAAATATAAATGGTTAAATATGAAATCTCAGATGCCCAACATTTAAATATAAATCCAACATAGTATTAATAATAAAAAGGTTTTTTTTAGTAGATCTCTACAATTTTGTAAAAATTTGATGGTTTATGAATAATGATGATGATTTGCGTTTTACATTTATCAGTTTATCAATTTTAAGCATTGTAAGTATATGTAAGTATAAACAACCCCAAATACGAGCACTCTATAAAGTAAATAAAATACAATTTATTTACTAGCCTTAAAAGGGTTAATGTTTTCAATAGTCAGTGGTTTTTAATCGCACATCATAACAGATTGAACTAAATACTGGGTGTCCTTGTAGTCTATATACTCATGTACGTAGTTCTAGATTGTTGTTGCTGTTGTGTCATACCAGAAGCTTTAAGTTGCCGTAGCTCTCGTAATTCGAAATGTTTACGGTACATTTAATTTCATTTGGATTATTACAATATGCTTTAGGAGGCAACAATTTCGAGTGTTTGCTGGGTAACTCCGTTCGCCACCCCGTTCCCCCTGCATTTCACTCCATGCTCCATTTGCCAGGCGGAACAATGAGCCATGAATAGGGGGCGGGTGGTGGATTAAATGGGCAGATACTACCATATTCCCAACCCAAAACACAAAACCCAAATCCACCCGATTTCTGGGCAGGTGTAGCGATGGCAGGCGGACATATTTCATTGTTGTTGCCAAAGTGTAATTGCGAATTCCAGACAAATGTGAAATTTGAATTTACAAGTTTAACTTTTCTTGTGAAATCATTTGTTTGTACTGCTTCTGCTGCTGCTTCTGCTTCTGGGGAACTCTCGTCATGGCCGTTGTTGTGGCTGCTCCTTTTGTGGGGTTTGTTTGGCTGTGCGAACAAAGTGTGCAGTTGGCAATTCTCGACTTAGTTCATTTGTTCCATTTCAACGCTTTCCAGCTGAAGGAGTCCTGCGGGAGGATGTTGTGGCTCCATCTTTTCGGGTTCCGCATAAACAAATGTACTCATGTCGCAGCTCCTTTCTCTATTTTCCGCTCCCATTTCCCTCTTTATTCGTTTCTTACACTTCGATTGTGCCATTTTGGTTGCCATATTTCCGGATTGTTGTACTTCGTCCTAGCAAAACTCAAAGGTATGTTGTCTCTGTTGAGTGCCAGCAGATAAACCATATGATTCTGAAAGTTACAGAATATTAAGGGAAATGTTTTTTAAATTTTTCTGACAAAACAATAAAATTGGCTTATAAACAATTACTCAATCTATGGCCAAAAGTGTAAGTTTTATTAGTATTTTGAAAAGTATAAAAAACAAAAATTATTGAACATAATTTATTTTTTAAAATTCATGAATGTTTTTTAAACTTTTTATATTGAAAGCAATTTAAAATAATAAAATTATAAAAACCTATGGTTTCGAAAGAAAATCTGAAAAAGTTAATGCTAAATCCAGACTTTTGTTGGTGGCATGGGGAAAATTGTTTTCGCCAACTACAGAAAGTTCCTGTTTAGGCCCAAATAAAATGTAAAACATTTCAAATTTTGAGGCCCTTGGATGGAAATCCCCCTAAATCCTTTAAGAGGTATTTTAGGGACACATTTCTTTATCCTAGTTTTCATGTGTTTTGTGCTTTGAAGGACGGTATTCAGTTGCACTCGAAACAGGCTTAGGTTGAGATGCCGGAATGCTTCACCTCAACGTGCCACAAAACTCCGCCACGTATGGAGTGTCCTCCAAAGGCAAGGATATGCGAAATTCGTTGGCTCTGTGGCTCGGTGCGTATAGCTCCTTCGTTCGCCATTCTTGTTTGGCTTTTGTACATTTGCCCGGCTTTTTGTTAGCTGCAGGATTGGGAGTTGTGTGGGTTTCTGGCCAGGCTTTTGTGCTCGATCGTTGTGCCGAAAAAGTTGCATTTCACGTCTTGTTGGATTCGGACTTGCTCCGGCTTTTCTCCTTGCTGTTCTCCCGCTGACTTGGCTTCTTCATATTTTGTACCCACCAAAGTGGTGCGTTCCGGTTTGCCGCATAAAACACTATGCCACGCCCCCGGCGCCTCCGCCCTCGCACACACACATACGGCCACACGCACACAAATACAATTAGAGACTTGGTTTGTTGGTTCAACTTGTTTGCTTACATTCAACTTTATTTCACTTCTGCTGCGATGGTTTCTTTCAGCCACTATCCCCCAACCCGTTCAGTTGGCAGTAGTGTGTAAAGTTTTTGGCCAACTTGGGCTCCTCGTCGTCGCACCATTGTGTTTTCCTGGGGGGCGGAAAGTGGAGGCGGAAAAGTGGCAGTGCTGGGATGTCGGAAGCGCCTTAACTTAATTCTGCTGGATTTCTATGCATCCTCGAGCGAACGAGCGTTGGCATTCTGTGTTTGCTTAAATGTTGTATAATTCACTGATTTCTCTGTGGTTTTGTTGCCATTGTTGGATTTTTGTTGATGCTCCTGGGTGTGCCTCTGTGTGTGTGTGTGTAGCAATGTTTGTGATTACATTACGTATACGTACGTATGCGCAATGTATGGGCACTTGATCATTTGGCGAGCTGCTGGAACTTTGCGGTAAGTCCTCAAGAAATAGAATAATTGGAGGGATTACAAATGAAAAGCAGATTACCGAAAAGCAGACAATGCTTGACTGCAAGGTTAAGCGTCAAAATAAAAGAATGCCAATAATAATAAACATACAATAAATAATAAACATACAAATAATATAAAACTTGTCCATTGAAAATATAATTTAATGTTGATGTTAGTCTTTTTAAGAACCCGAAACCATTTTTCTTTACTTAAATTGAAAAGCTCTTGCCTAAAAAAAATTAAATAAAATTAAGTAAGCATTTCTTGTTTACTTTACTGGCAAAAATATATACTCAAGATTAAAGTGAACTTAATATTATTATTTTGCTTTAAATGAATAAACTTAAATGTTAAAATGTTGCTAAGAAAGTCTCGACATTGAATTGTACTTCCGTCCATCTCTTTCTGTGGATTTTGTTTTCTTTTTGTTAAATAATTTCTTTGGAGACTAATATTTCTGTAGCATATTCACAATGAGATTCTTTCAAAAACAGTTTTTGTTTGACTCAAAGCCCCCGCACTCTGGCATCTTCCTCCAGCCTACTTTCGTCCAGTAGATTGCCATAAAATAACCCAAAATACGTTACCCAAGCCAATCCCAACTTCAGTTGATTCCCTCATGGAAAACGTAAGGCAACGAACATGGACCGAACATTGTAAATTGTTGTCCGAAAATTTATTGGCAGCACTTATCAGATTCACTCATAAATCTGCAAAAAGCCCGTCTCCAAAGCCGTGCTCGCCATCTCTTTCGCTCCCCTGCAATGCGTGGGCGGTGTGTGTGGGTGTGTGTGGGTAAGGGTATCTGTGTGAGGGGCAGAGTATCTGTGTGAGGGGCAGCGTTTCTGTGTGTGGGTGGGTGGCATGTGCGAGACATTTATTTGCATGCCTCGCCCGACTTTGCCTCTCTTTCAGTGCTCCATTTCGGTCGCACAATCCACAAATTAACATGACATTTTTACAAGCCCAAACATGTGTACACATGGGCCCGAAAGTGAACCGAACCACTCGAAATTAATAGCCAGCAAAGCAGCATCGGGCGCATATAAGCCGCTCATTGGATGTGGCCCAAATGGACAGCCGGACCTTGGCCCGGACATTTATGGACGTGGCTGAAAAAGTCAAACATTTGAACAGACGAGGGAGCGGGGTGGGCGGATCGAACAGGTTGCCGTTTTATGCATCCATAAATTTAATTACTCAAAGCTCTAAAATGTGCAAAACAAAAAGCCATCAGCTCAGGTGGAAAATACTCTACAGTGCACTCTGTATACAGATGAACTTCGATAACTCGAATTTCCTTGATTCAATCAAAGTTTCAAGGGATACCCTATACTCTATAGAATTTGAATTAATCGAATTGTTACTGATAAAAATGTGGGTGGCTTACCCATTAAATTCATTAAAAACAGTCGCAAAATAGTTCATCATTTTTAAAAATGATATTTTACTTTTAGCAAGAGAGTTGTAAGCCAAGCTTAATACAGACTTTGTTTATGTCAGTTGACTACCATTTTTCACCATATTATTTTTTGTTCTACTATTTTAGAATTGATACAATATCTATAATGTTATTTAATTTTGTATTTGGTTTTATTATAATTCCAAAAAACGCTTCTAAAAGCGACTTTCAGTTCAAGAATTGCTCCTGTTCCTGTCTCTTTCGCCCGCTCTCTACCGCTCTCTTTCCCACCACATTAACGTTCGATAATCTGGGTCAAGTGATGTGCATACCCAGTCAAGCTGCAGGTTTTCCATTGACAGGAGCCGAGTCCATAAGAGAGACCTCAAACACGGGAGGAGACAGCCATATAGAGAGGAGGAAAAATCATGACAAAACATTTGGCCAACGAGTTTTCGTTCTCCTTGTGTCGTGCACTTTTTGCGTCATTTTTTGGTTCCACTTGAATGAGAATGACGAGGGGACGTCGACGATGATGAAGTTATCAGGCAAAAACAAGCCAAAAGTTGGCACAGTTTCAAAAAGTTAGCCCACATAGAATAAGGGGAGTGGAGGGGCTAACAATCAAAAAAGGAAACTGCAAATTCTAAAACAAGGCACACGAACTTTGCCCACTGAACTGCAGCGAACGAAAGAGATGGCTTGAGCCCGGGCCGAAAGAGACGGCCTGAGCCGGACGGAAAGGGACGGCTAAACGGCCACTGAGGACATCGAGCATTTCCGTCCAAGTGCGAATGGGTCTCTCGGATCTCTGTCAATAGCGGGGAGTGGCACATGGACAGGAGCCACAGGAACTGCCGGCAAAAACAACAGCGGCATCAGGAATAACAACAACGACGGCAGTTGACAAATGCAACAAACGACAAGTTAAAATTCATGTTCATTGTACTTGCCACAAGTTTGCATTTGCTGGGGTTAAAACACAGCATTTCTCGACATCAAACCAACAAGCTGGCAATGTAAATGGTAATTGACAAACAGCAGCTTAAGTATTTTAAAACAATTGTAGGTGTACTGATTTCAGTGATGTGAGGTAGATGAGCAACCCAAAAATGTTTTACATTCAAGACGCATTTAGTTAAATAAAATTTATAATTATTTTATATCCCTGAGTTTGTATAGCCATGTTATAAAATAAATGCTAATAAAAATCATTTAGATAAATAAAATGTATCATTGCTTTATATCCCTATTTATAACCATGTATGTATAACCATGTAATTGAATAAATGCCAATAAAAACATTCTCTCGAAAATAACAGTCCATCTTTTATGTATAGACAACTTCCTTTTTTGACAGAAATAAAATATCATCTAATAAATTGCCATGTGTTTTAATTTTTCAAAACTGCAGAAAACAAAGCTTGTTGGCAGCTTCCACTTCACTCACCAATCCAAAACAAAACATTTGCCCAATGTACACACATCCGTAAGTGGCCAGAATATTTTACCTACAGATATCCGCAGATGGAAAGTGTTTCTGCCATCTCACCTGACTGACTGACTGACTTCCGTTCCGCTCGACATTAGACAATAATATGACGTATGTTGGGGCCAACATGAAGTTAGCCAGCAAAATAATAAAATGGCTATAATAAATTTCTGTTTTGCAAAATATTTCCAGGAATTCGGGAATGGATTGTGTGCCAGCCGGCCTTTCAAGCGGAAATTGCACATTTTGCAGAAAGTGCTCCCCCGGGGGAACTGGGATGAGATGGAGTATAAAAGGAATTAGGAATGCAATTTGAGGTTATGTTAGCAATGTGCAACCGGGCTAACTGTACCAACACTAACGTGGCTTTACACTGGGAAAAATGCCCTACATGTAAACATTTTTTTGGATGTAAAGTATTGGAATATTATGATTGTCAGACCCACCAAAAAGCCATAAATAATTTTTTTTCATAAAATTATTTTAAAATAAAATATTCAATTTTATAATTTATTTGTTCTGTAGATTAAACGGATTTGCCTGAAAAGATGGTTTCAACAAGCCTTTTACTCAATACAATTTTTTTATTAATATGCCAAACTTCAGTATACTTTTTTTCGAGTGCATGGCACCACCAACTCATTCTGACCACATCTGTATGCGCATTTGTTTAGATGAGAGACGGTATGTGTGTGTGTGTCAGTTAGACAAACAGACAGTTGGACTGACACTTGGACAGATGTTGGGATACGAATAGAGCCTGGAAGTTGGACCCCAGCTACGGACTGACAGCTGGACGCAGAATTCCTCCTCCGGCCCCCAGAAACCCTTTCCCAGATATTAATAGACGAAATTTGAGTATTGCTTCCGTCATGAATAAAATTTTGCATCCAGAGGGCAACTGCAGCGCATAGGGAACTATGTAAGGCTCCCCCGAAAAACTTTTGACAATCCTCCCCAGGCTCCACTCACACTCCCGAAAACTTCTCATCCAGTGTTGGACCATAAGCATTGTCCCGAACTGCAATTCCTTGCCCAAAACTTTTCAAATTGTCCATTCAACGTCCATTCAGCTGTCTGCTTCTGTGGCTTCGTTTTTCATTTTTTACTTTTCTTTTAATTTTAATGATGCCCTCTGAAAAATGTAAAACGTTTGCGTTGCCGCAGAGCTAAAAACATCTCGAGTATGTGCATGTTATGGCCGCATCGAGATTCTGTTCCAAATGGGCAGAGCTCTCGTCTTTTCTTGCATTGTGGTTATAGTTTTTGGGACAAAGAAATAAGAGAAAACATATTAGGTCTTTATTTGAAAAAAAATATTTCTTTGGAAAAGCAAGAATGCTTTCTGCATTTATAAATCCGAACCAATGCCAAAAAATACTATGCAATCTGGATTAAATATCCGACTTAATCAATCAAAAACAAATTCCGATTTTCTCCATCAAACGAAAATTCCAGCACTACAAAATGCAAAATGAAGAAATTGAAAGAAACGCAGCGAAACGAACTGAGCTGAAACCACAGAACGAAATGCGGTAACACGCAAAACTTTGCTGAATCAACTACTAAAAGATTTATGGTATCAAAATAGTGCCACATAAAATATTCACACCTTGGCCCGGCTGCCAGAATCTAACGACTCCATAGGTCCGGTGGAAAGCGATTTTCCTGGGGGGGGAGGGGGGCGGTGTGGGTTGGCCAACTGATGCCTTTGGCCCGATAAAGCCATTGTTTATACTCCGCTCAGCGACTGGGTTGTGGATTGCATTTTGGCCATAAGTTGGCAACATTTTTTATGCGTTCATCATGCGGTCAGCATAAATTTTTCATCGCCATAGCCGCTTTTCCTTCGTTCAATTTTCCCCCAACACGTTGCCCATTTTGACGTCTGACGGCCATAAATCAGAGCGTTTAAAGTCGCCAGATGAAAAACTAAGACTGAACCATTTCTTTTTGGCCAAAAACATAAATAAACCATTTATTCCACACCAATATGTTTGTGACCATGTTAGTGTGCTCGTGTGTTATGTTTTTTTTTGGAGTGTAGCTTGCGAAGGGGAAGTCTTAAAACAAGGAGTGTAATTTGTGAGACACCAATCATGCAAATGTACAAAAATCAACTGATGATGGGCTCAAGGGTTTCGTCAGCGCCAATGGGGGACCTTGCTAACCGATTTTCCTGGAAATATATTTAGATGGTTAATAGAGAGAATATTAGGTACAAATTATTTGATATAAATAAGAAGTTTTTATATAGGAATACATTTAGAAGAGCTTTAGTACGTTCTTTAAAGAGGATGTTTCAGTAAGCAAACGCAAAAAAATTATGATATATAAATATTACATTGATCAAAAAATGATGCCTATAGATAGGAATACATTTAGTATGTTATTTTAAGAGGAGAAGAATATTTCGTACTTAGAATATGATTGATTTGATGTTTTACTCACCGCAATTAAACGATTGATTGCTCTTGCCGTACTTGGGAGATTCGTGCATGGATGGTGTGCTGAGGGTGACAAATTAAAAAGGATTGCTGGTGAGGATGGAATTAGGATGCTGAACCCATGGGCGAGATCTACTCACTTCAGTCCGTTCCGCACATCCCGATACATGCTGGGTGGCAGCTCGTAGGAGGACTTCATGCGATTTCCCTGCTGGTGGTGCTGCTGGTGGTGCTGCTGCTGCGGTTGGAAGTGTTGCTGCTGCTGGTACTGCGGCTGGTGGCTCTGCATGGGCTGGCTATACTGCCACATGTTGCCGTTGGTCATCATGGAGCTGGGACTGGGGTTCCAGCTGCCGGAATGCGAGGGCGACGAGGGACAGGACCCAACCATCGCACCACTGGCTCCGCCCGTCAGACGACCTTGGTGCATTTGGGTGGTGGATCCAGACTGCTGGTACTGCTGCAGCGGCTGCATCTGGCCCATTGAGGTCATGGGCTGCAGGTCGGGAATCACCGCATTGATTCCGGGGGCGTCGATCGCCCCCATGGGATTGCCCATCATGGGCATCATGGTCATGCTGCTCAGTGGCGTCACCGCTCCGATCGGCAGTTGTGAGGTCATCGTGGACATGGGGGTCATCCCATTGCCGGCGGGCATCATGCCCAGCGGCATACCTTGCACGGGGTACGAGGTCATCTGTGGAGCACTCTGCATGGGCATCTGCATCTGCAGGTTCATCTGGGGTGGATTTAGTGGCTGCACGGACATGGACTGACCTTGGCCCTGGCCAGGACTCATGCTCAACGGGTACTGAGGCACGCTCTTCATCTGGAAACAGGCACAAAATAGTACAGGATATTACAGGACCTTTCAGGAGCACCCATTTTTACCTTCGAGTCGGCGTACATGCCGTAATCAGCTTCGTAGGGCACTGAGCAAAAATTCATGTTTGAATTGAGGAAAATTCGACAGTTTCCGAAAGAAATATACAAATTTGTAACTCCAAATTTTTTACGAATTTAAATTTTTAGAAATTTTAGATTTTATTTTTGTATCAAATAGATCTGAATCTTACGATGAACAAAGTACGAATGAAGTAAGATCTTGGAAAACTAACCATACTTCTGACATTGTGGGGAAAAGCCTACTAGGATCTCGAAAGTTGTGTGAAACATAGAAAATGTAAAGGGTTTTTAAACTTTGATCTCAATGGCCTTGGAAAACTAAATCATTGAAAGTGTGATATAATTCCCCTTTTTTAGTCTATTCCAAATTTGTTGTTACCATGGGACGAAAAGGCCACAAGAGTAGGAAAAAACACGCAATTGGCAAGAATGGCCATCATCCGAAAAAGAAAAAAACTAAGCATCACAAGAAGCACCACGCCCACACCCATACCCATACCGACAGAGATTCCCGACCCCGCCCGTCGGAGATTTACCACGACAACTGCTGCAGGTACAAGACCCATCCTCGACCCCTGCTCCTCAACCAGGTCAATCTGGCCACCCAGTGCCCCTCCCGCACGATCGCCATCGCCGCCTCTGTGCCGCTCCTGCTACATCCCATCCGGAGGAAGGTAGTCCGTCTGCCGGAGACCGTGGTCATGCACATGCGGAATACGGAGGACGCCCGTCGAGTGGCGGACAGCTTCAAGAACACGCTCATCCAAGCCCATGTCCCAGTTCCGGACGTCGAAGATGGGGAGAGTCTGGAGAGGCTGCGCCAAGTGGATCTCAGGCCACGACACGTCTATCCAAAGAGACGGAAGAGGCCGTCTTATAGCACCATGGATTTGGATAAGTCCTTTCAGTGAGGATTATGCTGCTCCTGAATTATATTGTTTCAGGAATGTAAAATAGTCCATTAAATATTATTTCGCTTCACACACAAAACGTTTTTCATTTATTAATTAAGCCCTTATATCAAAAAACTATTTTCAATACAATAAATATAAAAAAACATTAACATAGGGGAAAATATGTTTATAATCACATCAGTTTCTGTTATAAATCTTTCAATAGCTCGCTTAACGAGTTAAAAACTAGTGACGATATTAAATTTAAGTAAGCACAATATTTTTAAGAGAAGCCGTTGTAGGTTAATGTATCAAATTAAAAAAAAAATAAGATTATGAATATATTAAAAATTGGGAATTTTCTGTTTCGACGCAAGTGAATTTTTAGTTTTCTGAATTTTATTTCTGTTAAATTTCTTCTGAATCAAAATAAAAAGAAAATAACTATTCCTTTATAACTAACTCTAACTCGTTTAGATCTAATTATTTGGCTATCCCGCACACTATTGTTAGGATTCGTCACTACGTGGACTGTCATCCACAGTAACAGTTAATTTCCAGTTCCTGCAATTCCAGTTCCTGCCATTCCAATTCGTACAATTTTCCTACTATTCTTTTGTGGTTGTTCCTTCTCCGAACCACGATTCCCACCAGGGGAATAAGGACTATTTTAGTACCTTTAACTAGTTGCTTCGCCCCTTGGGCATATCGTGATCATCCATAAGGCCACGCCCCTCCACAAGTCCCCCCCTCCGCTTCCGCCCACCAGTCTCTGTCCAGGACAATTAATTTTGCTCCCGGCTTGTCAGCTTATTGTTTATCTACATAAATACGGGACACGAAGAACGGCTGCCCTGAGCTGTCGTGTCATTTATCCTGCTGCTCCTGCTGCTCCGTCCCGTTCCCACTTTCGATATCCTTTCGGCCGCGGTGCAGTTGCCACACCATTTATGCCATTAAGTCATTAGCTTTGTTTAACAAATAACAAACTGTCAATGAGTGATTAACGATGTTTTTCGCGTGAACTGCAATTAGCCGCCTCCGTGGACGCTCGCCGTCCGAGTTGTTCCCTCTGACAAATGGGTGTGATTTCGCTCCCAGCGGTGTTTCCCTGGATCCGAGGTGCACTGGGTGGATTGATGGGTGGTGGTATCGGTGGGATGGTGGAAAGATGGGATGGGACGACCGGGTGACAAGCACTCGTTATTGATGCGCCCCCAAGTTGCCGTCACTTGGCAATTATTGTGTATTGTGCTCCAAGTCAGCGGCATTTGCCATAGTCATAGACATAGTCATGGAATAGTCACACTCATCGCAGTCATCATGGGAGAGCAGTGGTGGCATAACTGGAAGCCAAACCTATATTAGCTATTTTCAAAGGTAAATATTTAGCCAACCTGTGACCCAAATTAAATTACCCTCTGCAAGGGTAAACAAAACACGTTTGAAAACCATACAAATTAAAAACAAAAAAAAAATATTTGCGGGATATATTTTCTATTAAATGATTTGTTAGGATAAAATATGTTACATGTATATATGTGTGTACCTACGTAACAGTCATAAATATTTTGGATCCAATAATATTAATGGTTTTAGCTTAATTTTTACTAATAAGAGTGAAATCCAGTTATAATACAGCTTAAGCTCTTTCTCCGAGTTCATTTTGTAAATGATAGTTGCCAACTCTGATGGTGAGTGGGAGCAGAAGGAGCCACGCAATTATACCCGTTGACAAGTGTAATGTCAGTCAACCGCGACTGCCGTTCTCATTGGCATCTCCACGAGGCTCCATTTGCAGGCCATCCTGCTGTTTCTGCTGCTTCTGCTGCTTCTGATGTTTCTGCCGTCGACGTGACGCGCTTCATCACTCACTCGCTGGCTGCTAACACGCTCCCCAGTTACCCACTTGTTCAGCCCACTCCACTTGGCCACTCAGCTCGGCAGGAGGACTAGGACTGGCGCCCGGCTCATTTCGATCCGTGCACTTTATTTCCATATCCAGGAGCGGAGCAGGCCCAGCAATTAAAATACTTCCAGAAATTACAATAAGCCTGTACTTAAAATATTTAAGGAAAATATTTAAAGAAAATAATCATAGATACTTAACAATAGAATGCTTATCAACCTAATAGTAATTAAATGTATCAAAATGAAACTATCGGTATTAACACCACATAAAAAGTCTTTTTTCAGTTCAAAAGTTGTATAACTAATGACAAATAATTATGTTTTTGCACTGTTGATTTCAATGCCGAATTCGCTTAATATAACATTTTCATTTTCCAAAAAAAATACCTGACATGGTCCTTACTATCCCTAAACTTTTTTAGAAATAAGCAACAAAGAAGCAATCCAAATTTCATTCCTTTCGCTTTCAGAGTTTTTAAAACGTTTAGGAAAAATAATTTTTAAATCAATGGCAATCAATAAATACCTAAAATCCAAAATAAAATATTTTATTTTAAATGGGAAAATGTTCAACATATTAGTGTGTTTATTGTTCCCACCCAGAAATATAACTTCTAACCTATAAGTATGCCTCAATCCTAAGCTTATTAATATAAATCCCTTAATCCGAAAATGTACTGAACCGCTCCTGTTTGAAAATATTTACACTGTAATTATTATGCAAAATGCAGTTGACTCCATTATTTACGATATTGTTAAACTTCGTGAGCAGAGTGCTAAATGGGGTGAACCACATTGGACGGCGACAGCGAAAGTTTCAATATATGTATATTGCTAATTCCATATTTCTATGTATATTTGTAATCAGCCAGCACAATATAAATGAGTTTGTGCGCGGTCGCTAATTGCCTTTGCCAGAAAGTTAATTACGGCGAAATTTGAAAATATCAAAATTGGACTTGTCAAAACCATTTTGACGTTTCCCTTCACTCCCCTTCCCCGCCACACCCCCCTTTTAGCCTTCATTTGGAGGAAATTAGTTTTACAAACTTTTGCGTTTTTGAATTTCGCACTGTTTTGGTTTCAGTTGACTTTTAACTAAAAGTTGGCATTCTATTGTTGGCTTCGACACTCATTATGCGGCATTATTATGACTATTAGCACTCGAATATCAAAAATAAATGTGCAAATGCCATTCATCAAGTTGAGTGTTGATGTCCATTTGCATTACTGGCAAACATTTGCCGGCCTAATTAAGTGCCACGGAGCCGTGTTAATGAGTTCAAAAAATGGCATTAAAATTGTAAACAAAAATAATTGTGAAATCAGCACTTTAAATGATTTCGTGAAATGTCATTTGTGAAATGTGATTTGATGTCATGTTGAAAAGGAAATTAAAATGGTGGTGTTGGTTTTGGAATTAGGTGATAATTTGAAATGCTTATTTGGCGTTCAAAAATTAATTAAAACAAGAAAGGAAAGCTAACTTCGGGCGGAGCCGAAGTTGATATACCCTTGCAGAATTCTCTATAATAATATTCTCCAAAATTATTCCTATGATGCATTCTTAATACTCATAAAAAATCCAAACTTCCTAACTTTAAAAACACCAAAGTTATGGCATTTCCAATCGGTCAGTTATATGGCAGCTATAGGATATAGTCGGCCGATCCTTATGAAATTTGGTAGGTCGGATTGATTGGCCAAATATAAAACCAGTAGAAAATCTTAACTTTCTAACTTTACAAACACCAAAGTTATGGCATTTCCGATCAATCAGTTATATGGCAGCTATAGGATATACTCGGCCGATCCTTATGAAATTTGGTACGTCGGATTGATTGCCCAAATATAATACCCATAGAGAGTCCCAACTTCCTAACTTAACAAACAGCAGAGTTATGGCATTTCCGATCAATCAGTTATATGGCAGCTATAGGATATAGTCGGCCGATCCCGGCCGTTCCGACTTATATACTGCGTGCAAAGGAAAGAAGGGTGTGTGCAAAGTTTCAATTCGATAGCTTTAAAACTGAGAGACTAGTTTGCGTAGAAACAGACAGACGGACAGACAGACGGACAGACAGACGGACAGACAGACGGACAGACGGACAGACGGACAGACGGACATGGCTATATCAACTCAGGAGGTGATACTGATCAAGAATATATATACTTTATAGGGTCGGAGATGCCTCCTTCACTGCGTTGCACACTTTTGACCAAAATTATAATACCCTCTGCAAGGGTATAAAGAATACAAGTTTGTATAACATACCGTAGTTGAACGTTTAATGAGCTGCCGGAAAATTTGCATTTAAAAACAAGAAAGGAAAGCTAACTTAGGGCGGAGCCGAAGTTGAAATACCCTTGCAGAATATTCTGCAAATTATATTCTCCAAAATCATTCATAATGCATTCTTAATACTCATAAAAAATCCCAACTTCCTAACTTTAAAAACACCAAAGTTATGGCATTTCCAATCGTTCAGTTATATGGCAGTTATAGAATATAGTCGGCCGATCCTTATGAAATTTGATATGTCGGATTGATTAGGCAAAAATAAAACCCATAGAAAATCCCAACTTCCTAACTTAACAAACACCAAAGTTATGGCATTTCCGATCAATCAGTTATATGGCAGCTATAAGATATAGTCGGCCGATCCTTATGAAATTTGGTACGTCTGATTGATTGGCCAAATATAAAACCCATAGAAAATCCCAACTTCCTAACTTTACAAACACCAAAGTTATGGCATTTCCGATCAATCAGTTATATGGCAGCTATAAGATATAGTTGGCCGATCCTTATGAAATTTGGTACGTCAGATTGATTGGCCAAATATAAAACCCATAGAAAATCCCAACTTCCTAACTTTACAAACACCAAAGTTATGGCATTTCCGATCAATCAGTTATATGGCAGCTATAAGATATAGTCGGCCGATCCTTATGAAATTTGGTACGTCAGATTGATTGGCCAAATATAGAACCCATAGAAAGTCCCAACTTCCTAACCTAACAAACAGCAGAGTTATGGCATTTCCGATCAATCAGTTATATGGCAGCTATAGGATATAGTCGGCCGATCCCGGCCGTTCCGACTTATATACTGCGTGCAAAGGAAAGAAGGGTGTGTGCAAAGTTTCAATTCGATATCTTTAAAACTGAGAGACTA